GTATCGGGTAGATTATTTTGATCACATCTACTGGCAAAAAATAGCTGCACAAACGTTCGGCAAACGCGACAGTGTGGTTCGTTATTGCCAGTCCAACGGTCATACTTACTAATTGTACAACCCCCATCCAAGAGTTCATCACTATTATCACCACAATCATCCCTGAAGTTACATTTCAATGTTAGCGGTAGACATTTCCCGTTGTTGCACTTGAACTGGTTTGATAAACAGTTACCTGGAAATCATTAAAAAAAAACGAACAACAATTGCATTTTTTTATTGGCAACGTAAACATAATATGTAACAGGTGATCGCTTAGCGAATGCAACTTAGAATTTTATTTTTAGATATCGAGTACAAACAACAACAACAACAACAGTTAAAAGGTGTTTCGAGAAGAGGTCATTGATGAATATTATTTGTGATCAATTAACGTAATCTGTCAAACGATTGGATGTGCAATATTCATGCAAGTGGGTATAAACATACCAGGTATAAACGAAAACTTCAAATCGTACCATCATAATATTGCTAAGCAAAATATATTTTAAAATGAATCATTTCAAAGGTTTGTGTTGAGTAACACTAGGAAAATTCGATGACAACGTTATTGTTCAACTAGTATGTGTACTCAAAATAGGTAGACGGAAAAGTTTGATGAAATGAACAACGGACTATTATCATATTCAAATGTGGACGATGCCAACAACCGAAAAGTTGTTTGTCCACGTCATGTGATATTATGCAAATGCGAATACATTGTTAATAAATCAAACGATCTTTGCTTGTAAATTTATTCAACAGAGAGATAACAATTCATAATGCGTTACTATATTTATGGTTTGATAGTGCCATTAACAACATCATGTGACAGTAAATGGGTGGTTGTTTTGGTCTGCATACTCATACTGCATGAAACGTTGTGAAAATCAGAGTTGTGAAAATGTGAATAAGTGTCTCTATTTATGATACTTGAATGCATAACAGAGATTGTGATAATACATTCAAAAAAAATAGTGCACATATAGTTAAAATAATAATAGAGTACATTTAATGATTCACAATAAATTCAATATACGTAATGCGCGTTATAAAATTGAATATTTGGTATCTACCTCGTTGACAATTGAGTTCATCAATAGCATTGGGACAATCTACAATACCATTGCACCACATGTATTGTTTGATGCATTTCGATTTCTGCTCGTCGCATGGTACGTCGCCCGGCATGCACGGTCCTGACAACAAAATTAGTACACGAATAAAAATGATAAAAATAACTCAGACAGTACAACATCGCATTGACCTCCGCTGCGCCTCTTATGTCATAACATCCGGGACATTTAGATTTTTGCAGATGACAAAAAGATGGAAGACACTTTACACACGTTTCCCCACTGTGGGCTAATTTTGATTTTGAAAGTTTCCATGTTGGCTCACACCTTAACCTAGCTTACTCCCTTTTTGTTTTTGTTTGGGATAATAATCATTGTCCTTGGCTTCGGCACTAATTAACATAATTCATGATAACGTCCTCCGGCGAGGCCAATAACTGTACAATAATTTCTCGGTTTAATTTATTCCAGGAACATCGAACGAGCAAAATCGAAAGGAATGATAGCAGTGAGACTTTATTTTATTACATTTGCTCGTTGAATTGGCCGTTTTGTAGTCCGAGAAAAGTAAAATCTGATGGCATTATTCTTCCCACTGGATATTTAACCACTCTTTTTTCAAATAGAAATTTCAGAATGGTCTTCGAAATTTGGTACACATTTGAAGTTCATTTATTTAAAGTACCAACATAAAAACGATTGTTTGTCTAAGGAAATACCCGACGACTCATTTCGTAAGAGAACGAAATATAATCGTGGTTTCATGCTTAGCGAGGTTTCCGGCTCCGTCATTGTCTACTCACCACGATACGTGAAGGAGAAGAGTGGTTCATTCACTTTAGCGAGGTCTTTGTAAGTACTATTCAGGATAGCAGATAGTCGTAACTTGTTTGAATTGCACACAGTGACAGCTGGGAAGGTGATCGAATCTCCAGATACAACCTCCATCTTAACAGCGACGTCATACTGTAGGTATCTTGCAATTAGGGAACCTACATGCAAACTGTACCCGATGAACGCTCCCAGTACGACGACCATCCAGGCTGTTCGTCGAAAGCGTGTATTCGAGGCAGCGATTCGGGCTACTCCATGTGAAGTTGTACGGAGAGCGAAATCTTTCACTAGATGTTGAACTCCCTCCGTATTTTCCATTCCTGTGTCAGTCATCTGTATTTTGTGAAACGTACAAACATATTACTGGGATATGTCGTCTAATTATGCTCCAGTAGTTTGTTTACGGGCGAATTCATTATTAATTAGGAGATGTCATCATTTATCTGCGGGTTCTGTGATTATGCATCAGTGGCTATGCAAATAAAATGTGAAATAAAATGACCGTCTTTTTTCTACACGAACTTGTCAATTATAAACAAATTGACGGATCTCTGATTCAAACTACCAAAAATGTATCCACCAAACAAATGTATACGCAGGGACTTCCTTACTATCCTAATAACATATTACTTAATAAATTAATTATCCATTATTAATTGCAGTGTATAAGCACTTGATAATTGGGGTCTGAAATAGAACTGTGTCATAATACCAGCACATTGCGAATACTTAATAACCAGGTTATATGATTGAAATAATAAAATAATGACGATAGTTAAAGATTGAATTGGTGTTAACAAATGACAGTCTTGAAACCAGGCCGATACAATAATCTGTCACCGAGTCGCCATAACTAAATTTTTGGGTATTACATATGGTATCTGATAGCTAACACATTAGGAATGCGAACTCCAAATATGAAACGATTACCATGATAGCGAACGTTTTTAAAATCAAGTTCATTGTAAGAAAGTTCCAATAATTCTCACAATTTCATACATTTCATGGCATCCTACACAAAGTAGTTACATCAGAAGTATGTATGGTAATAAAGTTATTACGAGGATACATTACCGTACGCACTGTCTTGCATCGTGTCGACCTCCGCATACGAATACTGATTTTTGTGCATACTTAGCGGCATGGTCCCAGTGACCTTGTAATACGTAAATGTGTCACGTCACCATTTCGGAATACTGCGGGTGCTCTATTTTGAGTAAAAGATTAACAATACTGGTACTGTAGCCATTGTTTACTAATAACTCAGCACTCGCCCAAGCCAGCAGTCAGTAAACAACCCTTGAAATATCACACTTGTACAAACTTGTGAATACATGTATATTGATATATTGATTTAGGGTGATGCATCCACACCGGAGTACGGTGCATGCGACTTTTTGTTGGCATTTTGATTCGGATGGATGCTGATCCAAAACAAAAGTGGATTGCTGGTCAAAATTTCTGCTCTAAGAAATGGCAAAATTGCTAACGTTATAAATGGTAAAAGATTCCAAAACAAATAATGCAATATGACGATAGAATAAGCTCATTCACTCATCACATGGTCGGTGTTAATCGCGCTAACCAAATACGATCGTACATACACATACATGGTCCTCTGAAGTTGAGAAGGGCAACTGAACGGAATCTAAAATTTTAGTAATGACCATAATTAATAGCCCATTCTGTAATGACATCATTCTTGGCAAACGCCATGTTGGTTGTTGTCTATAAACTGTTAAAGTTAGAGTAATTAGTCAATGACGTGATGGTCACATGCAACATTAACATCAATTGCGTGGATTACGGATACTCAGTATCGAGATTATTTATATTACAGTTTATCTTATGCTAATATTTTCCCGCAATAATTTGTTTAATGGTGTTCGTACTCGGGTATATTTTTTATGCAACTATTTTAAGAAAGCCATATCAATTCCAGACGTTCACAGCGTGTAGCACATCGTCCGAGAGGGCGCTGTAACTTTGGAAGTTTAAGATGAAGGCAGGATTTTTATTTTTTAATTAAAAAACCTAAAAATTTGATTGAATTAATGCAGTTATACATGTCAGGATGTAATTAGAATTCTGTTATAACATTAATTAACAACTTCCAAATTCAGTAGCTTTTCAGAAAAAACAATCCAACCATTTCGACGAAAAAAACATAAAAATAAGAAATTCGTCATTACTGTCGCGTGATGGCGTGTTTGCGTTGGTTGTCTGAATACACCGGTGGCCAGGTGTTAAACTAACTTTATTCAGGCTGTCATAACGTAAACATTTCTGATAGTTAACAACCTCCGTTTGGTGCGAAATCAAACTTGAATAGTAGCCGGGATGTCACGCATGATAATTAGGGTTTCATACAACTCCTCACACTAAAGACGGCATCATGTACTATTCAAATAAAATTGCAATCAGTGCCTCATCCAATGAACTTCAAAGGGAATCTTGAGACTATTAGCATTGATATTTGATGGTCGGAATTCGGGAACACATCGATGATGATTTTTTCTGGATTCGTCCTTGTTCAGAATTACTGTGGACTGCGGTAATTTTGTGGAAGTTGGTTATTGTGAATGCACCATGCACAACCAATCAAAGTGTAAGTCTAAACGATCACCAATAACAATGGATACAGTAGGATTGAAAATATTAATGATGGGAGCGACATGTTTTTTGTTTTTTTTTATACCGGAACATCATGCAAAAGACCACATTTATTGAGCATTTTAAAAGTTGGACGGAGCCAAGCCCACCTTCAGTTACCAGTAGCATTACGCGATTTTATAGTCATAAACTACAGAAAGAACGTCCAATTCAACAAATCACTGATAACGCTAATAAACATGGGCATATCATGATAATTTCAAATTATCACATCGTGGTATCGGACCGATGAGCGTTGATTCACGTGACCTTATTCCTTGTCAAAAGTCGACCGAACAATTCATTATACCACACAAAAAAAGACATTTCGCGTCGTCAAACTGAAAAGCCATCACAAGTAAATAAAATCACTTCACTGGTCGGCAAGTATTTTTTCAAACGACAAGCAGACCAATGTGTGCATACTGAAAAATTAACAGTTTTTTTTCAAGGATGGACCAACACTACATACAATGCCAGAGTCTTGCCCACATCATTCCGTACATCTTTTATTGTCAATAATACTTAAAGCGGGGAGTCGTCATCTGCACATGCGTCAGCTGACCATAGCGTGTCATTGTTTACAAATAAGCGTCTACCCTTTGCGTTTTTAGCGTGTGTTGTTATCGTCGCTTGGGAATTAATTCCCGCGCGTGCGCAGCTGACGACCCTCCCGCTTTAAAAGTACAATTTCTCATAAAAAATATCTATTTATACTCAGGGAATATAACTATTGAACAATTGTGCAGTGTACTACTGTCGTAGTGGGCGTCATGAATGCAGACTCAGAATGTGGTCAATAACAATGACTGTGGGAAACGGCGCAATACTCGCTCTATGCTCAAATATGTGGTCATATAACAGTATGCGTTATATAGTGGGTGCCAAAAGAAATGTAAGACATGTGTAAAGCTGCAGTATCCCATTTGTCGGTGTTGGTGTCACGTGGTGTGTCGCCACCTAGTTGATTGCAAGTTATCTAAAATACATTGAAACGTTCTAAATATACCTCACCAGGACTTAGTAGGTTTCACCTAACAGTATCTCATGATTCTGAAAAATGGATTTCGAACGAAGATGCTTGTAGCTGACGCAATCAAACGTCACATACGAAGGTGGTTCTTCTGAATTTGGGATCGATTACATTCTGTCGTGTAACTGAATCTTTTTGAACGTGAAAACTGTTTGCACTTTTTAGAAAAAATAAACAACCATGACACCTTCCATGTTTTACGCAACATGCAATCAATGATAAACTAATATGAAAAAAATGGCATTTGTTGTGCCAAATGAATATTCATGAAATGTTATAACCCATAGATTGCTTAAAATAGCACCAGCTCCAACACTACTACTTGTAGCATTCTCTACTGAAAGTGTTGTCCCTTGTGTCGGCACCAAAGGTCGACCACTGTTGACTGTAGTAGTACCTGTAATGTGAATATATATATATATATATATATATATATATATATATATATATATATATATATATATATATTTGGTATATTAAATTAGAACTGTACTCAATTTTCAAGTTATCAGAATTCACATTGAGTAAAACGATTCGATTGTGATCCAACTTACTTCCACATAAAGGTACCGAGTCATCCCATGTTCCATTATAACACGTCAGAGTAGAACTGCCTATCAAGGTTTCCCCACCTTCACACTCGTACTCAACTTGAACGGAACCCGCGTGTACGTAACTTGCACCGTCGACTTCTCTGCCATTTTCTGGAGCGTTGGGTTTTTGGCAATTCACTACAAAAGTGAAAATGTTTGAAGAATATATGTCCATGATTAATTTGCCATTCGAGCGTACGTACAAATGATTCACAATTCCATAAAAATATGTAATTTATAAAGTGACAATACTTACAACATGGGAAGGCGATTGTATATTTGTATTAGTAGTTACATTACACGCCCCAAAACCTACACCCATATATGAAAATCAAGTGTTTTATACTAGTACTAGTATATGGTTGAGAATACACTCGGAGAATATTTCTCATCTCTTAATTATAATTTTCATTATCACTTACAGAAACATAATTCTGGTGGAAGAGCTGTTTGTATATTACCCCCGGCCGTCCAGTCTCCGTCGTCGCACGTGAACATGTCTACACCGTACGTTGTGGTATTAACACCACATGTAAACGTAACCTGGTCACCTGTCTCATAAAATGAACCATCTACTGTTGGATCTGGACTTCGTGATCCTAAACTTGGATTTCCAGGATCCTGACAAAGTTCTGGAAAACAATGTTGTTGAAAACTAGTTTTACAGATACAAGTATACCAGTGAATATTTGCAATAACCGTTCTATATGACATAAAATATCATTCTGTTATAAACGGTATGTATTACACTCAAACATAATAAGAAGGTGATTATAATATCCGGAAGTAAAAGTATGATAAATTATCATAACATTTCACCAGCGTTTTCAAGCCTTACGTAATGTTAAATCCAAAGCCGTTCCATATTAAGTGTTGTAATATAACTCCTTATATGGGGTTGGGAATAAACCTACGCGATTGTTCAAAACATCCCTGAAAAATGTACGCTACTTTCGTACTGTTTGTCTGTGAGTAGTCGGTGATTTAATAATACAAGTATATACTACACTGAGTTGAATTATGCATAATTAAATATTGCAAAATAAATTGGTAAGATACA